GGGTCTGGGCAGAAGCCGGACCCGACCTGCGAGAGGCGCCGTCGCCGGGGAGCAGCTTGTAGAAGCCCTCGCGGGTGCGGAACTGCGATTTGATCTCCGCGCAGTCCCCCATGACGGCGCCGGGGCCCGAGCCGCCCTCCGCGCCTGCAGCTGCCGCCCGGCGTAGCGCCACTCGGGCCCCCGGAGAGCCCGCAGGCCGGCTGGGACGCGAGTGCAGGTCGTTCGGGAGGTGGCACTGGAGGCTACTCCGCAGAGTGGGAGCGGCTGCTAGCAGGAGCGGAGCCGCTTGCTGGTCCGCCGCAGCCCCCGAGTTCCGTGGCGCGCGTCCGGCGCCCCCGGCCCGGGATCCCGGCTCCAGTAGGCGTCCCAGTGCGTGTGGGAGCGCGTGGCGCGCGCGCCCGAGCAGCTGCCTGAGAATAAAATGTGACACGCACGTCTCTGACTTCAGCGCCGTGCGGCGGGGAGCGCGGAGCCCCGCGGAGCTGGACGCTTGGAGGCGCGGCACCCGGAGAAGGTTGGTAAGGGAGGGCACCCGGGTCGAGCGGTGGGGCGACGTCTTTCTCCGCGTCGCCACAGCCAGTGTGCTGCTCGTAGAGTTAGACTCGGCGACTTGGAGCCAGACCTTTGGGGGTGCGGGGAGGGACGTCGAGGGTGGTTTGTGGGGAGAAGCAGGACATTCTAAAGAGATTGAGCGAAGCGGAGGGCTTGTGCTTAGGGGACAAGCGGACACAGTAACTGTGGTGTTTTATTTTGCTTCTGGAGGGGAATCGAGATTTATAAATTATCTTCCTAGCCCCCACCGCTGTTACAAATTGCACTTCTTAAATTATAAAGTGTGCTTTGTTGCTTACTAGTTTTCAGGAGCTATAATGCTCAGGGCCAGAAGGAATTTTTAGAATCCTAAATACACCGTGCAGTTGCACCCCGAAAACTTTGTACCGTTTGCGGAAAGGCTAGTTGATGCCTTGAGTATCGAAGGTAATGTCTGTCTAGCTGGGATTTAGTGGTGCTGAAGAGTCAAATTAAACTCGTGGTCTTAGCATGTGATGTCTCCGGAGCGAGCTGAATAGGTGCGTTTTGAGAAGCTGTGCTTTCCAGGAATTTAAATGAGACTTTTCGAGATTGTCTTCCAGGGCTCTCCTCCCAGTACCATATTTGTTTCTTCAGGCTGAACTTTCAAAGAGCTGTTTTATATTCCGAGAAGCACTTTGGGAGAAAACTAATGTTTCCTTGTGGACTTCTTTCTACTGATCATGATGAAAATTTGGTGAGCGACAAACCACATTTGGTCGAAATTTGCAGTTGGTGTCTAACAGCGAAGGAGCCTTCTGATCTTCAATGCCAAGGTCTATTAGCTTGGGTGAGGGGATTTTGAGTGGACTTGCCACACGTTCTGCACATGTTTAAAGCCACACATGGTTACATGCGGATTACATGGTAGTTTTGTGGGAGCCGGGGGTTGCTTTGGTATTTTGGCCAAAATATTTTGAAATAAAATTTCTGAAAATCTTCAGTAAATTGAAACGCTATAACTCATGCTGTGGCTGCAAATTTAGGGCTACTTCTTATTTTCAAAGAAAAAATGTTGTGTAGCCCTCGACCTATTTTTATCCACTTTGCCCTGCTGATTTTTCTGAAACTGGCAACCAAAAATTTTATACTTGAAAGCTTGCATTTCTTACTAATGCCATGGAAAAGCTATTCATAATGATGAATGGACGTTGTGGTCAAAATGGAGAAAAATCTTATATAACAGGTGAATTACTTTGAATTTTACAACTCATTAAAAAAACACAAACTGTTAGATTCTTGGTCCAATTTTTATTGTGACAGAACGAACTTGTAGAATTTTTCCTTTTTGATTATTGTACTTGATGTTTCTGGGGTTTTGACCTGAATCTCTTATAGAGACTTCAGTGTAAGCCTCAGCTCTTAGTGGAGTTTTGAGCCTCACAATTTAGAGTAGAGGGGGAGACTTGCTTTAGAATGGTGGATTTAAGACAGTTGAATATTTGAAAATATAGCAATTTTTTTATGCAGAGATGGTCAATCAACTATATTTTGTTTCTGATGAGGATAACTAAGAGGGAAAAGAATTTTCTCAGTGGACTGAAGATTAAGTTGTGTCTAGGGAAAGATTTGTGGCCAGCCAGTAAGATTGATTTCATTGGTAAGTGGTGCTGTGAAATTCCTGTAGATTCTTATTTCTGGAGTTCTTTTTTCAAGATTCTCCTCTTCCTGACATGATTTAAGTGTGTGGGACTCTGATCTATTGCATGCTAGCTGAAATTTTATATTCTAGATTTAGTGTTGATTCAAGCATTTCTCAAGTGCTTAAGTCTCTTAAAAATGACAAACTCAAAAAAAAAATGACAAACTCATTTCTAGGCTTCTCTGTACTACTTAGTTAAATAAGTGAGAGAGTACTTTCCAATACTCTGGAGACATATGTTCCTTAAGAAATATTTAATTAATTTGCAGATGTAATGCCTTGTTCTTTTACTTTTGAGTAAAAAGATATTATACATGATAATAGGCACAGTCTTTTTTTTTAAATATGCATCTCTTCTTTAACTGTACTGTTATATGATCTTAAATTTTAATTGTTTAAATTAAGTGAATTCTACTTGTTTAATTCCACTTGTTTAAATGTCTGAGTGATCTCATGATAGGTATATTATATAATATGTTAAGTTTTAAGTTTTTTTAAGTACTTAAAGCTACTCCTTAAAAGAAGAACTGTGAGTTGAAATACACAACTAACTGTGAGAGAAACAATTATATAAAGCCAGATACTAACTTTGGCATCCAGATAGTGCAGATTTTACCTTTGCAAAGAGATTTTCACCATAATTAATAGGTTGTTATTAAGGCTGAGGATTGAGTGTGCTGTAGAAAGTACCAGCTATTAACAGTTAAACATTAAATTTTCATTTTAATACATCTGCCATTTTCCTGAAAGCCCTCCTTCCTGTTTGTAAAACTGCTCATTATACAGGATACAGACAGAAACATCAGAGATACATGAATTCATTATGTTCATATCAATTGCCATTCTAATACGAAATTCTGAGCCCCTCTAATCCCAGCATTTATGGAGAACAGTTGCAATTCAAAACGCTTGGGACCTATCTAACCTGTGGATTGAAGTGGCAACAGGCCTTTTACAGGGTTTGAGATATGAGCTAGGCAGTTCTAATCTTTTTTTTTTAAATAAAGATTTATTTATTTATTCATACAGAACTGGCGTACAGGCCAGAAGTGTGGAGGGTGAGAGGATTCACCAGGAACAGAGAGGGGAGCAGAACAGGCAGATCGACGAAGTACACTGCTGAGGGGAGCAGCGGGCGGGTCAGGAGAGGTCTGCTGCGCCATGTGGATCTCCTCCGGGGCAAGCGGGGATTGAACTCATGTGGAATTGGTTTAACCTTCTTAGTGCTGTGCTTTAACCCACTGTGCTACCAGGGAGGGCCCCCTTTTTTTTTTTTAAGATTTATTTATGCATACACAACTGGGGTACAGGCCACAGGCACAAGGGCGGTGAGAGGATTCACCAGAGACAGAATGGGGAGCAGAACAGGCAGATTGACAAGTACACTGCTGAGGGGAGCAGTGGGTGGGTCAGGAGAGGTCTGCCTCTCCGTGTGGGTCACCTCTGGGGTCGGGGATCGAACTCACACTAAAGTGGCTGTGACTTGCTTGCTGTGCTGTATCCTAACCCATTGTGCCAGCAGGAAGGGCTGGCAGTCCCAGTCTTTGCAGTAGCCGGGGGTTCGTTCCAGCTCCAGCACTGGTCCTAGACTTTTCACCTGATGAAAACTGATCCCAGAAGTTGCTGTCATGTGGCAACCTGTTGGTTCCTGGCTCTCCCACAGTAGAAAGCCCTCCTGCTCTCTGGGAAGAATTGCTCTGTGGATGGAAAACATCAGAGCAATGCTTCCTACTCTCAGGTTGTTCCTTCAGAACCTCCTTTTGGTTTCTATTCTCGACGGTCTCCTGGTTTCTTCTGGCCTCTACTATTCTATGGGAAAGAATTCCCAACTCAAGGCAGATAGTGGTTCTAACAATTTAAGTTTGCAGTTTTGTTCAAGACTTTCTCAGAGAGGAATAAATGGAAAAAAGCTCTTGGTCAGCACCTCTAGAACACTGAAAGAAGTCTGGAACTCCTCAGCACCATTTCCAGTGCAGTAAAATGAAAGGTTAGATTAATTCCTCTCCATGTTGCCATCACCAGTGAGGATTTCATAAAATTCCTAATTGCATATTTTGCCATACTTACAACTTTTCACTAACAAACTGGGCAATCCTTTCAAATACCTGGTATTTGGGAGAGTAACAATTCAAAGAGTAACAACAGTGACAGAGTTGAACCACACCCTGCCACTTGTTCTGCATACATTCTCAAAGTACATGGTAGCCACAAACCTGGGATACATTATTACCCCACTTTACAGGTGAGTATGCTATGCCTAAGATTTGAAGTGCCATCCTCAATAGCTTCATGGTAAGAAAGTGGCAGGGCTGGGGGATTTGAACCTAGGTTTGCCTGACTCTGAGGTCTGAGCTGCTAGACAGAGATCCAGTGTTCTAGAGGTATGAGAGTGACTTGTGATGTTCTGTCAGAGCCAGAGAATGACTGTGAGTGTAAGTTTCCATGTTCTCAAACTGTGAGCCAACTTCCTGGGTCAGGAAGACTGTATAGATGGAAAGGGATAATGGGAAGCCATGTAGTATGAAAGCCAAGTACTCATTCACCATGACCAAGAAGCAGAAAGAAATTTTAGCTGCAACTTGAAAATGACCCCTGAAATTGGGATTGTCTAGGTAGTCAGAACTGGACTGAAATTCAGGTTTGCATGAAGGATGTCATAGCAAGTGCAGTTTCCAAGGAGAAAAAATCAAGCTAAGATTCAAGAAAATTATCCATATGCTGAGTTACTGGGTTGATGACGAGAGCAAACTCAAAAGCAGTCTCTTGAGACATTTAGAAATATATTGGTGAAAGCATAAGAGAATACACAATAAAGACAAATCCCACACTGTCTTGATTATAAGCCACTGTTTCCAGAAGTTTATAATTCACACATTAAGTTGCACACTATGCTGTTTCTAGTATTCCAGCCTGAGAGGAAAATGCTTTATTAAATTAAAACCAATTGGTTTTTCATGTTCAAATTATACAGATTTTTCAAGTAGAGGTTCTTGAGTGTTGGTAATTGTTGTAGTTTCTAAAATGACTTAGTTTTAAATTAAATATGGGAAAGGGTAAATCTCTTAGATAATTCAATAATTTTCGTTATTCAGAAATATAAAAAAGTAGCTTCATCAAAAGTGTAGTGAGGATTTTTCTGAAATGTATTATTGTGTGCTAAAAACCTCTATTTGTAGGTTTAAGTGGGTAGGAAAAAAGTTATTAATATAGGGTTTGTTTTCTAAATGATACAGTTAACTCAATTACAATATGGAACTATGGGTGCATGATTAAAGAATGACTTTGTTTTTGCTATTAGAAAA